ACTTACCAATGTGTGCTTTTTTCTTTTTCTTTTTTTTTTTTTTTTTTTGCCTCAATCTGTGCATTGGTTCAATTCCTTAGCCATTTGTTTATCCATAGTTGGTTCCTGCAATCTCAACCATGAATTAAGATCTAGTTAAATGTGGTAAGGCTTGTTATGATCTGAATAAAATATTGTTTGAATGCAATTGTTATAGGGGATGTCTCTAAATTTGGACCACATCAAGAAAATAAGAAGTTCAAAATTAGATTGTTATATGTCCAACTACAAATGGCTATGTTTTTGCTACTGTCAGCAATTTTACCTGCATAGGCTGGTAGTACCTTTACTTAGAAATGCTAAAGTCAAAACTCAACTTTGAGTTTGTATATCTGAAATTATGCAAAGGATTAGAGAAGGATGCCATTATCATTGTACTCAAACATTTATGCTACATGCCAAACATTGGCAATGATGGTAGATTGACTCATCATGAAAAAATACCTGATTTTTTATTACTTGTTTTTGATCACTCAAGTGTCAGCATATTGATTTGAAATACTCCTTACAGCCATGAAGATTTTGAATCCAGTGGCTCGATTGCACTCAGCTTCATCACACTCATCCTCGTCAAGATTCTTAATCAATTCTTCAAGTTCCAAGGAGGCAGGTTATGAAAGCAGTAGTGACTTCTCAGAAGAATCCTGCATGTTTCAGGGTAGCCACCAATCAACATTGAATAGATTGTATGCCTGGGAGAAGAAACTTTATGAGGAAGTCAAGGTATACTTCAACTCATATGGCATAGTTATTGCTTGGGTTGATTTCAGTAACCACTTTTCAAATAATTTTAAAAAAAATTGAAAAGTAGTGATGACTAAAGGAAAAGCTTGAAAGAAAAAAATGAAAATAAAACTTCATCTTCTACATTCAAATCAGTGTTGGCAAGTTCTTAAGGGGAATTGTTTTCTTGAAAGAAAAAAAAAGGGGAAAAAAAAAACGGAACTGTAAAATAACAGATATTTGTTGCTTCCTTGAGTTTGAGTGGTGAATATGGCTGCAATTACTCAAATTTAATTTACTCAATTAGGTTGCTTGCTAGTTGTGGGTAATTTCACTGTTCTTTCATTCATGTTTGTTCTGACAAAGAGATTGATGCTTTAAGTTCAACCTCACAGATCTTAAAAATAGATTATGCTGCAAAGCAAGCTCTAGGAAGAATGATTCTAGCAGGCACCTTTAGTGATAATAATTCAATTAAGGAGCATAATTCCTTCTAGGGCTTTGATGGGAAACATTGACTTTGCTAATATTTTCAAATTCGGCTTCAATCTTTCTTCCAATGGGAAACAGCTCCTCCTTGTTTATAATTTTACTGCCATTGATTCTTAAATTTATATTCATGAGAAATACTACTTCATCTTTTTTTACAGCATCACTCCTTGAATTTGTCGGGAATAGGGACTTTGTTGGGGAAGTGTCTTGAGGGAGTTTGCTTTTATTATCTTTTCTTCCTATAGGAGATATATGCTCCTTGTCTTTAAAAATTTACTGCCATTGATTCTTAAAATCATATTCATGAGAAATACTACTTTTTTCCCTGAAAAGAAGTATTACTCCTTGGATTTTCCATGCCTTGCTAGATTTTATTAGCATAATGACTGTTTTCCAGTTAATAGAGGAAACTAATTGCTTTCCTTTCTGAACAGTCTAGAGAAAAGGTTTGAATTGCTTTTGAGAAGAAAAGCAGGCAACTCAGAAACCAAGATGTTAAGGGAGATAACCCGTATGCAGTAGATAAAACGAGGGCAGCAATTAGAGATCTGCACACCCAGATAAAGGTTTCAATTATCTTTTCTTCCTATAGGAGATATATGCTCCTTGTCTTTAAAAATTTACTGCCATTGATTCTTAAAATCATATTCATGAGAAATACTACTTTTTTCCCTGAAAAGAAGTATTACTCCTTGGATTTTCCATGCCTTGTTAGATTTTATTAGCATAATGACTGTTTTCCACTTAATAGAGGAAACTAATTGCTTTCCTTTCTGAACAGTCTAGAGAAAAGGTTTGAATTGCTTTTGAGAAGAAAAGCAGGCAACTCAGAAACCAAGATGTTAAGGGAGAAAACCCGTATGCAGTAGATAAAACGAGGGCAGCAATTAGAGATCTGCACACCCAGATAAAGGTTTCAATTATCTTTTCTTCCTATAGGAGATATATGCTCCTTGTCTTTAAAAATTTACTGCCATTGATTCTTAAAATCATATTTATGAGAAATACTACTTTTTTTCCCTGAAAAGAAGTATTACTCCTTGGATTTTCCATGCCTTGCTAGATTTTATTAGCATAATGACTGTTTTCCAGTTAATAGAGGAAACTAATTGCTTTCCTTTCTGAACAGTCTAGAGAAAAGGTTTGAATTGCTTTTGAGAAGAAAAGCAGGCAACTCAGAAACCAAGATGTTAAGGGAGATAACCCGTATGCAGTAGATAAAACGAGGGCAGAAATTAGAGATCTGCACACCCAGATAAAGGTTTCAATTCATTCAGTTGAAGCTATTTCGAAGAGAATTGAAACTCTAAGGGATGAGGAGTTGCAGCCTCAACTTCTGGAATTGGTACAAGGGTATGTCAATTTCACAACATTGTATTTATGCTCACTGTTAGGCTAATGTTCTATTTTACCTATACCGACAACCATAGTCTACAACTGTCATTATCTGTGGAAAGTTATTATAATTACTGGAGCCATCAATGAAAATGCCTGCCTTTACCACTTAAGCTGGTAAAAGTTTGAAGTACACCACAAATATGCCTTCCTTTATGGTGATGGTTTCCATTTCTTTAATGGCACCTTTATCGTAACTAATGAATCCCATCTAATGCTAGGAAAAGAACAAAAAAGAAGAGGGTTGTCATCGTATAATGGCATCAAGATTTGGTCGTTGCCATTCTCCAAACATTATTAAGCTGGATCAATGTAGTAATCAAAAGATTGTTTCCAGTGCACATCATGATCATATCACTGTCTTATATAGATATCTTTCTGAATTAATATGTAATTATATGTTTTCTTAAAAACATGCACCATTAGCAACATACTAATCTTCCATCCGATCTTTAATCAAGAATGGTCAATTTCAATTTTTTACTCATTATCTTTTTGTTAAAGAAGAAATGAAGAACTTGATATGCTCTCATTGTCTGATGTTAAATATTCCTCCCTTTTAGTCTTACAATGAAGTTAAATTTTTTTATTTCACTTTCATCGGATATGGTGCTACAATTATTATTATTTGATAGTTATTTTGCAAAGCCAAATGGTTCAGCATTCACGCCCTTATCACCAAACATATATTATTGTCCACAGTGTTATGCTCCTTGTACCACTACGAACCCCTGATGCATGAAAATGTAGTTTGGCTAGAAGTCAACATCTCAAACATATCTTGCATACTTGAAATTGAGCTCTTTGCCAGAACCATGTTACCTTTAACCTCAAAAATAGTACCTTGTTTATTAATCATTGCAGGCATAGTCAATTTAAATATATCCATTTCATTTCAAACTAAAATTTCAATTCATAAACTACAGGTTAGCCAGGATGTGGAAAGTGATGGCAGACTGTCACCAGGCACAGAAGCGAACCTTAGATGAAGCTAAGCTTTTGCTAGCAGGTGCACCTTCAAAACTAGAAGCAAAAAGGCAGTCTTCCATCTCAACCGCTGACCCTAACCGTTTAGCCCGATCAGCTGCAAATCTTGAAGCTGAGCTCAGGAACTGGAGAGCCTGTTTTGAGTTATGGATTGCTTCTCAGCGATCCTATTTGCATGCTGTAAGGGGTTGGCTCCTCCGCTGCTTGAGGTCAGACCCTGATACATCCAAGCTGTCATTTTCTCCTTGTCGGTCCCGTGGGACACTTGCAATATTTGGACTTTGCATCCAATGGTCAAGATTCGTTGATGATATTCATTAGATGCCAGTCCTCGATGGGCTAGATTTTTTGGCAGCTGGAATGGGGTCACTCTATACTCAGCAGCTAAGAGAGGATTCTCGCTTTATACCGGTTGGGTCTAAGAGGTTTGGAACTGTTGTATCTGAGTCTGGCGAAAATATGGACTTGGTAAAGGTTCATGAAGTGGAAGAACTTATGACAGCAGAGAAACTGGCTGATGTTGCCATGAGGGTACTTTGTGCTGGACTGTCTGTTGCAATGAGTTCACATAGTGAGTTTGCCATTGCTTCAGCTGATGGCTATGCACAACTCATTAACCAATGGGCAAGCGCCAAGTTGCCACAGAATTGAAGTGCTACTGGGATGTCATTATTGATTTTGTGCTAGGTAGTCTGGTTATGAGTCTGTAATTACAAATGTTATTTTAACCATCACAAGGTAGCTAGGTTAGACTTAGTCTTCTAGAAGTTTAGCTATATTGGGCAAGAGAAAAGTGAAAACTCATCAAAGCCTTATAAATACAAGGGATAGGGAAGACGCTACTTAAAAAAATGTTGAAAGGATTTTTACTTTGGAGCAACTAAACAGAAATGCAAACAGGCACGAAGTTAGTCTATGCCAGAAAAAAAAAAAAATGAACGTTAAAGCACCAAGTATGGTTAACAAATATGCCTTGCCATATTTTGTAGATTCAAATTGGTCAGATTCAAATTCATGCAAAACCATTCTCTTGCAAGTAATTCAACGCCCTATTGCGTTGGATTAGTTTTGCCCATCTCCCCAAAAGTTGTTCATCGAAGAGCCAAATGTGAAATGTGATTAACAAAATCTAATCAATGAACAAAGTCTTTCAAAAATTAAATTGTTTTTACATCATATTTAAATCATTCATAAATCCGATAATTCATATATCTATTTCATATCCATATCACATTTATCAAATCACAACCCGTATATCAAATACGAATTTTTTTTAATTTAAATTTATATTTTAATTTTATTAAAATTTTAAATTTATCACTTTCTATTTTCATATCATATTTAAATTCATTATATCTAATCATACCACAGATGATGCAACATATGATAAAAGTGCTTAGCTTAAAAATAACCAACCAGAATCAAAAGCAAAATTGCACCACTGATGTTTATATAGTCTATAAACAAGTCAACTCCTGAACCCTCTAATACATAATCGTACTTATACCCCCGCTTTTATCCTGAAGCAAAAAATACAACACATCAACGTACAAAGATTCCAACCCGACCAAAATATGCCACCTATTGTAAATTCATACTTATTTTCCACAAAGACAATGCAATGTTACAAGTTCAACCTCAACAGATTACTAGCCTTGTCAATAATCATGGGAAAATGTTAGTAATGAGGACCCAAGTCTGTAGGTAAAAGAGAGATTGTCTCAATCAAAAGCAAAGCCCTCATCAGCATCAGCATCACATCATCGTCAAGCTCCAGGCCAGCAGAATCATTTCCACCCATTACAGAGAGAAAAAGTAGAACTGCGACTAGCTGAGCTGCTAAAAAATATTTTGCCCTCCTCTTGAAAATTTTCTCCTCCTCTGTTTTCTCCCTCTTGGGCTTGCTCCTTGGCTTTGAACCTGGTGGGTGATAAAAGGAAGGAAATAATGTTTACTGGTGCTCAAAATTGTCTGATAAAATGAGTTAGTTGACAACAACATCCAGCAGCATATATGAATAAACTAAAATTACAAAAAGACATCACACATTGCATATCCCAACATAGCAGCATCATCGCAAACAGCTTTAAAACAACATAAACATGTCAATACTAAAATTCAATGCTCATGAAATCAACATATCCAAATAAATTTATGTTTCCCAAAATTAATAATCTGAATCATTTTTCATATTACCAGCACAATGTCCAAAAAGCCGATAGCAGTTAATTCATCACAATTCTTTTCATTGAAAATGGCAAGAAAGGGATAAGTTTTATAACTATAAATTGTAGGACAAAATAAAACCTTGAAATCAGAAAGCAAAGTAAAATATCAGTGTAATAAAAATGATTAAAGCAAGAAGATGATGAAGGCCATGACCAGACATCGATCCATAAACCAAAGTAATATTAACTAATTAACAAAAGGAAAAAAGTGACTTTCAGATGCAGTAACTTACTCCAATTTGAGGCACCTTTTCTTGGAGCTGATGATGAAGGGACCGAGCGAAATTGTGGGCCAGAAGATGATGAACCAGACTCAATCAACTCCATTTGAAGCTTTTCGGCACATCTGACAATATTATCATGCTCCAAGAGCTTGCTTCGAAGCACTGAAGTTTCCTATAATGCAGAATTGCAAGGAACATGCTTCAGACAAGTCCAAAAGGTACCAGTATAAATGCATTTGGGCTTTGCTTGGTAGGGAGGATGGTAATGGAGAATGAATATCTTTTAGTTAAGTTTCATCATTACCCTTCTTCTCTACCAAGCAAAACTTATTATATGGTCTAGATTGAGTGTCTGGTATTGCACATTCTATAACCCTATCAAGAACATCTCAAATTGCAAATAAATACATCACTTTTGCATACAGTATTTTCCATGAACAAATAAGCAAATCCCTTAACACTTCAAAGGGGGAGAGTTTTGTATTGTAGAGCTGTAATACTGGAATCTTCTATTCATTCATGCATAGGATTTTCTCTATTCTTATTTGAATTCTTTCTTGATTACTACTTATATTTATTTCTTTTCAAGAGGGAATATCTCTAGCAGAAACTACCACCCTTTTCTTTTAGAGGCCCTGGACACTCAGAATCATGTATTTCATGTTTGGCTATGATGGCAGTTTACCAATGCATCACAAAAGCCGTCCTAAACTCATAATTTCCCCCTTTAGGTTAAAGCAGCCACAATCTAATATACACCATCAGGCATCAGGCATCAGGTATACATCTTATAAGAACCTATCAAATTGTTCATAATTGCTATAAAAGATATCAAACAACACTGATATTTGACATAAAAGAACATTTGAAGAATATTTGTCATGCAAGTGAAGGAATTCATAATATAAACACACCACTTATCAGTGGAAGCTATAAAGATTATTGCAGAAAAATAATCAGTGGGAATGTTTCCCTTAACTACAGTATACAGCTATGCAAATTTACGTAGTGTTGCTCCCACAACAGCCCAGTTTTAGCAATTATTCATCTTCCCCCTAACTCAAGTTTTTTCAGCTTATTGAATGTTTTACATAAACAAAAAGTCCCTCAGCATAATGCACATAAGATGCTTGAATCCAAGTTGAAGAATTTATAATGATTTAAATCAACCATATAATTACCCAAAATCATCTCCCAGAGATAACAGCTAGAATACAATAGCATAGGTTCTGAAATAACTCACAGGTAATGCATGAAGGGTGACAAGAGCATGTCCAAGAAAGGCTGCATCCAAACTTGATGGCCTGCAAACATTTAATAATGCAGCTGCCTGCATCATCATGAGGTTTAACTAAAATACTACTCCATTAGAGAAACTATTCAAAAATTCTATAGCTAACAAATTTTAATATCTACATCAGCACATCAATAGGAATTACCTATCATCAAAGAGGAAGTTCTGTTCTCCTAACCTAGTAGACAGAGCACCATAAGCAATTTTTGCTCTCTTGTAAATCTGCCCCACATGGAGAATTTTATTAAGTACAATTTAGAAAATCTAGCACTGATCCCCAAAACATCAGTACATGAAAGTACACCTGTACAGTTTCTTAATAGTACAAATGTAAGCATTGCATGGCTTCATGTTTGCATACATGCAGACCAATGAATGAGAGAGAGAGAGAAAGGAGGACATGGAAAAATCAAAGGTAAAAGTGGGACCTCATCTTCTCTCTGTTTGGCATTGTCTTTAGTTATTCCAAGACGCTGTTTTACAATATATACTTGCTTTAGGAATAGAACTTTTCCTATTGGCCACGGTAGATCAGAATAATAAATCTTGCAGGCGGATCTTCCATCAGACCCCACCCATAGTTCATACATGATTGCATCAGCTAGCCAAGAGCTAATCATTGCTTTTGTTGATATCCAATCAGGGACAGATTGGAACTCAGAGTCCAGATCAACAATACCATCTTGCTTTAAACACTCAATAACCCCACCATTCTCATTATTGTGGGCAACATAAGCACCAGATTCAACATAAGGAATTTGGTCTGAAATAGAAATAAAAACGCATTATGATGAATGTCTACTTGCCTAAATGATTTGCATGTGATAAACAGAATTAACATGCAGATGTTCAGGATACAGCAATAGGTCAGTAAAACATAATAGTCATAAGCAGGCCATAGGATATTGCTCACTACTGATATCTCCACAAAAGGGACTTCAACGAATTATTTAAGCAGTTAAAACAACGACAACCAAACCTTTTCCCATGGTGTGAGATTGAATATATGGATCAGATTCCACCACTGTGCCCCCATATCTAACATTAACAATCAAGTGAAACTAAGACCGTTGTCTGGTTCGTAGAAAACATAAACTGGTGCTAAACATCAATTTCAAGCATTTTGGTGTCTCAAATAAGCATGCTTATGGACAAGTGAAAAAAGACCGTTTAACAGAAAAAAGGCATCACCAGGATCACGTCTGCATCCAATTGAAAATTTACAGTTGCAATGAATCAATGCACCCAATGTATCCTCTCCAAACCCCAAATCTAGATTACAAGAGCAAACCCCAAGCAACGTCCTTTAGAATTTAATGTTTTAAGTTAAGCGATCAAGTTTAGCAAACGAGCATTTGGCTCAACGGTAGATCAAAGAGCTAGGTTGTAATCCCCCCTTTCCCAAATCAACAAGTCAAATTCTCACTTGAATCTCAAACTTACTTCAAGAAATAAAGGATTATAGAAAAATGTTCCCTTGTTAACATTGTAAAACCAGGAAGAAGAACGCTAAGGGAATCAAACTACCGAATATAATAGGCTAGCTGATGCACCCGAGCATTTAGCTCAATTGTAGGTGCCTCCGCTCAAAGAATTGGATTATAAGAAACAAAAAACGCTTTCATTGACTTCAGCTCTGCGTCCAATCTTAATCTAACTGACAATATAAGAAAACAAGTTAAGAATAAAAATTAAATGAAAGAAACCTAATTGAATGAGGAAAAAGACAAAAGAAGACCTGAATCAGGGAAGATAGAGTTGAAATCCAAACGAAAGGGAAAGTGGGCAAGCTTGAGATAAATGAAAACGGGCAAACAAAGAGGGCAAGCCGTTGGGAGATCAAAGTAAGGCTTTCTTGTGACCAGCGTCAACTCTTCTTCTGCCACCACTTGCTCCATTTTCTATCTTTCTTTCTTTTCTCTTCACTTCAACTATCTCTCTCTATAATTTACTCTTAACAAATAACAACCCACACTATAACCAAAGCAACCAAAGCACTTTTTTTATGTAGTTTGAGTTGGGTCACCAAAGAGTTCGAGAAGAAGGAGAAGAAGGAGAAGAAGAAGAAAATAAGCACAGAGCGAGCCTTCCCTTTGATGGATTTTTGTTATTTGAGGTTGTAGGGTTTCTCAACAGATTTTGAGGGCTTTTGTCTTCAGTAATCCTCGCGTAAGTTTTTCATTTCTGCCGGTGGGTTTTTTTGCTCTTTTATAAAAGGCCTCGTTAAATCGGTAACAAAAAGACATTACTTCCCTTATTATTATTTTAAATTTTTAAATTATATCCGTACCATTACACTGGATAATTTGAGACGCAATATAAAAATGATATAAAAAATTATATATTTATTTTTAAAATAATTTTTTAGATATATTTATGTCAAAATAAATTTTAATATGATATAATTTATGTTTTATATGTAAATACATTTAAATATGTGTTGATTTGTCTAAATATATATAATACACGAAAAATATATTTAAATAAAAAGTATCATATGAATACACGTTTAATATATGATATGATATAAAAAATATATTTAATTTAATTTTGTCATACAAATATACGTTTAACATGTTTAACATGCATAACACATTTTTTATATTTATTTTAATTTAATATAAACATATAAAATTATTTTAATTTTTAATTTTTTAATTATAATATTTAATTAGCTATTCAGTACCATATAAAGATTATTTTAAATATTTAATTATGATACTCATTTAATAATTATTATAAAATTATTTTTTATATTAACAATATAAATACAATATAAATATTAATACTAGTGCTATAATCATTATTTTATTATTTAATCTTTAGTAGTTAATCATTTTGAATTTGATACTAAAAATTAATATAATTATGTAATATATATTAAAATTTACATATATCTTGAATGCATATTAAATGGGTATCAAAATTTTTTATTCTTTTTAATATGCAAATACTTTTTTTATATTATTAATATATAAGTTTATTAATTGTAGATGATTGATAGTTTATAATTATTTATTATTTTAGTCATATTTTTGTATATATTTATATTAGTCATGTCTATTTATATATATTTATGTTAGTCGTGTCTATTTGTATAGATTCATATTATTTGTATTTATTTGTATTGTATTGAAATGAATTAATTGTACATGTGTTAATTGTATTGTGTCATATTCGTATTTAGGATTTAAACATGTTTTATAAATCGTATCATGTTAATATTTTAATAATTCATATCATTACACATGTTAAACATGACACAAAACATTATACAAAAACATTAATTGTCAAGTCTACATGCTATAAAAAATTTAAAAAAAAGCAAAACAAAACTCTCTGAGTTGTAATAGGGATTTGTATCTACTAACTGTTGCCATCTCCACCACCTATGCCTAAAAGCTTCTCTAATTCTATCAAATAGGTTATCAACCAAATCATCTCAATTCACACCTTCATTCAACAATAATTCTAGCACTTTCTAAGTGCTTATTTGTAAGCATCAATATCACTTTTGGTAATAGCATCTTTAACCCTTTGATAAACTTCATATCTAAACTAGTTTTGATTTTCTAGTATCCATTGTAAATGCATTCGTTCAACACATAAATAAGCACCCACAATAAACTGCTAAAATAATTTTTCACCTTTAAGCATAGTACTTCTTGTATCTAAATGTTGTTGAATCAAGCATGCAAAATATTCCATCATGGTAATAAATTTTCTCACTTTATCATTAGCCTTATTATTCTTAAATTTACGTTTTTGATACGAAAGCCTAATGAAAATCCATCTTTGCCATAACAGAATAATAAAAGTTACTGCATTGCCATAAGCAAAGGATACAACTCACTTATTCATTTCAAACCATCAGTGAGATAATCGACAATGATATCACATCCATCAATAGCATCTTCATCATTTCCCACTAATAAATCTACAATTTCATAAGCCGAAAGTTGCACATATTGCCTGTCTACTTCATTCATTCTTACGAATAATCACAATCTAACAAGTCAAAGATCAAACCCAAGGAATCTATCCCACACCATCCTAAAAGCCTTAACAACTTGATTATTGTCATTCAACATGTTGATCAAGCCTTCAACTATATTGACATCAATCGACCTTGAATCCGAAATAGAATAAAAACAATTATCCTATTAGAAATTTCATTGGTTGTATCATAAGTATGTAGCTGTATAAATTTTGGAGTTGAATCTGGTAAAAAAAGTAAAGATCTAATATAATTATACATTTGACCACTTATTCTAAAGATATATGGATAAGGCCTCCTTATTAATTGCTGCATCAATCTTTCCACCAATTGATGTAAACTAGAGTATCATGTTATACATTCTTATATTATCTCTAAATTTAGTAGCTTTTTGACCATTTTTATAATCAAAAAACAAATTCAAATAAGGAAATGCACGCTTAAAAGATGATAGTTTAACACTTCTTTTTTTACAATGAAAATTAAAACCAAGAACACTTTTTCTACTAATAGTTTGATCATTCTCTTCAAACCACATTCTCTCACCATAATGGAAATAAATGTCATTTAAACCACCTAGATTAAAGGGTTTAAAGTACTTTCTTGAAAACATACAATGACAACAACATCAATAATAAAGGAATAAAAGCAACAAAATATATGCATTCAAGAAAATGAATGTTGATAAGTATAATAGCATTTAAACAAACATAAAAATGTTAATTATAAAATAGAAATTAAAAAAAAAAGCTCAAGAAAAAAGGAAAAATGAACTTACTATTAACAAGTACTTAAGTTCTAGGCGAATCAGTACGACCAACACCATTTTTATTTTCACCATCATCATCAACAAATAGGATAATGAAAAGCAATATTTGATAATGAATTTTGATAGCCATCTTCAACAGACATATAATTAAGAGATTGAGGATTAGAGAGACCAAAACTTAAAGCAAGATTTGATCCAACACAATGCAAATAAAAAATCATACCGAAAACTTGTCAAACAATAATTGAATCTTAGCACAAAAAATGGAAACAGTTTCAAGTTGAACTTGATTGTTGACTGATGAATGCACACTTATGTGCTGGATTGTCTTATAGATTTTAGACACAAGTGAAACATCTAATCAACAATTATTTTTAAATCAATTCGAGAAAAATTATTTGAATAATCTATTGATTGAACACTATTAGGTAAAATGAAAAACGAAACATCCAAATTGACATCCTAATAACAGTGACCTCAACGATACCTAAGAATGTTTAACCTTCTAAACCTATTATTTCTAAAAACCTAAACATTATCTGTAAGTAAAGACAATACAATAAAATCAATGATAACCAATCATCAAACCAAAGACTAAAACTTAAGTAGAAACAAAACTAAACACTATGGAGAAAAACAATATAATCATAAAAACAACAAAAATAAAGATAAATCTCAAAATAAAGAATGTAACCATAATTAAAGATATAAAAATAGATTGCATACATAATTGAAAGACAAACAACACAATTAATACAAAAACATCAAAAGCAAGCCCAGCAACGCATAAAACGCAACAAATGAGAACTGTAGGCCAAATAAACTTTGAATGCAACCTACAAAAAAAAACAAAAATAAATGGAACCTTTTCATAATATATTTGTAATGAAATTTTATTCGCAATTCAACATCAAAAAAGCTGGTGATTCATAAATACAAAATGAGAAAACATTATATAACAGCAGTACAATTACAATTAAAAAAAAGCAAAAATATAAACATAAAAAAGAAAAATAATACTATAATAAATCAAACAAATCAATAGATAATATAAATTTATAACAAAACATCCAGATCAACATATGATTGCATAATCTAAGAATGAAACACAATATAAAAATGAAATCTAACAATACTTAAAAAACAGTTACATGCATCATAAATTCCAAGATTTTAATAACATTGAGCTTTTATATAACCCAAAATAATAATTAAAATGAGTAAAAAGAAAATAGACAACATAGATAATTGAACAAAAAATATATATTTATAATAACAACCTTTTTATCAATTCATATTCATTAAGGCAGCAATCGCCATATTAAAAATAAAAAAAAGATTACATAACACTGTTATCAATATAAACCCCCAAAAAATAACATTAACATAACTATAGGTAAACAAAAAGCAAAAAGCAAGAATGAACAAAAAAAAATAGCATTACCAAAAATACAAAATAAACTACATCAACTAAAAGATAATGTTTCAAAAATAATATCTTGCATATTAGTAGTCGAATGTTTGAAAATTGTATGTAAAGTATTTCAAAAATTATAAAATCTTGCATGTGAGCATACTCCCATAATCATACCATTTAAACCCCTAAAAAAACAACATAAAAAATGTATACCATTGATAACAACATGATAAAATAATAAAAGTTGTAACATTCACAAATCTATAGTTAAAAACAAATAATGAATGCAAAAAGTCTCAAGAAACAACAAATAGTGAAAGCAAAAAAATGCAATACATCCACTAAAATAACTTTTGAATACGTTTTATAAGAAAAAAAACATAAAGTAAAAACAAATAAGAATAATATCCAATACTTTTGCAATAACATTTTTGTAATACATTGATATCCATATCGACCAAATTCACAAAAGAAAAGAAACAATCATATAATAACAAGAACACAACTATCTAAATTCACAAAGTAATCATAACCTTAAACAAAAACGACTAATAACAAACATAAACAATAAGATGTATGCGTGAAATAATATAAATTTAACATAACTAAGAAAACATCTCCAAAATACCATTGTTTTCTTCAAGGGGAACAAAGATCCAATCGTAAAAATAAGCATTAAACAAAAAGCATGACAAACATGAACCATAGGACTGTAAATGAATCGCACATGAATGAACGAACATATGTTTATGATTTGTTCATTTGTTTTTAGAAATGTTCATGTTTGGTTCGTGTTTGTTCGTTTAAATAATAGATTATTCGTGTTCAATTCGTATTCATTCAATTAAGTTAAATGAGCTCGTTTATGAACATTAAACGAATATGTTCAGGAATATATATAAACAAACGTATTCATGAACAATAAACAAATAATAACCAAACAAATATAAACAAACAAACCCAAACAAAAATAAATGAATCTTAAAATAGAATTAAGATAAAAGATAAAAATGTAATTTTAATAGTATTATTATAAGCAAACAACAAACGAATAATAAACAAATAAGTGCAATTGGAGAAATTATGTCTATATTAACGGAACTTGTTAAACTTGTAAAAAAATATTTATACAAGTTTACAATTAATTTTATTTACTAAGACATATTTAGATTTTTGAATTATCTCATTAAAATTAATTTTGAAAAAAAATATAATTATAAAGAAATAATTCTAAACCTATATATTTTATGAATTGATAAAAATTCATCTTTTTTATTGAATTTTTTTACTTAAAACAATTAATTTCTAAATTATTCACATGATAAATGAAATATTTCAGGATTTAATTAAAAAATATTATAATAAACAAAGACCTAAAATTTAATTGGAAAAAAATGTTATAACAAACAAAGACGTAAGTTAATGCATCAAAAGTTCGAATTGAATGAATTTGTTGACATTAGGTACTGTTCTGTTTATTTTATACAAAATTTTCATTAGAAGTTACAAGTTACTCTTTTGAAAAAATATTTATTATTTGTTCAAATTGATAACAAAGTTTTTATGCATTTTTATTATTTAAATTATTATTTATTCTATAAAAATTTTTTGTAAGTGGTAAGCAAGATTTTATCAAAGCAGTCGAATTGAATTTGACCAATTTTATATTTTTATTATTTAAATTATTATTTATACTATAATAATATTTTCTAAGTGATAAGATTTGAATTGTTAGCCTTTTAAGTTTCATTGAAGTACTATGCATCGAGTCCAATGTATTTTTTAATTAAATATCTATCATATTTAACATATATTTATAACAAATATTGCATTTAAAGTATAATTAATGCCCAAAATTGAATTGATCGATTGAATTGACTGGATCGAAGTGGGAACCAAACATCCAATTGATTCACCTTTTGGTCCATTATTTCAAGTTAACAACTATTAATATACATCCTAAAGTCACTCGGATTGGTAAAAAATATATTGTTATTAATACATATTTATCACTTATATTTAGGTAATAAATAAGTTTTCTTTTATCATTGATATGAGAACAAATAGTTATTGAGTGAAAAAGTTGTTAAATGCTATTTGGATGAAGATAATGGAACACAAAGGTTTTGCAAAATAATTATAAAGGGTAATAATTATGAGATTTTATACATTAAAATAATGTTTTAAAGCTATTTCCTATTATTATATTGTTGAGATAGAGCATAGGTTGAAGTAAGTAATCGATTTCATAGATTGAAGTATAGAGATATTTAGAAATAATATATAAATGCTTGTTAGATGAATAGATTCATTGAACATGGTACATTATTAGAATTTCATTTGATATTTCACTCGGATACTTATAAAAATGTTTGCATGTATCAATTTTATAATTAATCCTTAAACTTGTGACACCAAGTCATATTGCGTGGGAATTACCATATTTTTAATTTCATTTGCATGGATCTAAGTTTCAAATGCTTAAAAAGAGTTATTTTGGGTGTGAGATGAAGCACATGAAGATAGATGAGTAGTCTAAAGAGGATTTATCACCCTAAGTAATATGACTAGATATATCTCATTTGTTCTTGGTATAACTTAAACTTGATGAAGTCTTTGGCCAAAGCATGATGAATTTAGTAGAAAGAGTTTATCTAGATTCTTAAAGATAACAAAAAGTTGCAAGAATTAATATGGCATAATGAGTAGACATTTTATCATGCTCATTTTCTTTCTAAGTTATTTGGTGAAAGAATTGAATTACACTCTAATTGGTTATATAAATATTATATTGACTTTAACATTTGAGAAGTCATGATGTATTGCTAGATGCTGCTCATGATTTATGGATATAAGTTAATTATCCTTCTTAAACTTTGAATTATGATGAAAAGTGATTCATTAATGGTCATTTCCAAATAGCAAAATTAATCAGATTTCTGTGGGATGATTTGGGTTTTGATAACTTATAATTTTTTTCATAGCCAATGTTTTAGCTCGTAAGTTAGCAACATTGGATTGTGGAATAGGTAGGCAAACATGGTGGGAGGGTTACTCCCTGCATTGCTTTGTAACCCTATTTCTTCATAATAATTTTAATGATTTTCATTAAAGGTGTAACTAAATTGAATGTTAAATAAATAGTTCGTGAATATGTTCAGTTTTTATTCATTTATATTTATTTATTAAGCTTAACAAATGATTATGAATAATATTTTAAGATTTGTTAATTAAACAAAAAGATCACTAATATAATAAAATTTATTCATATTCGATTCGTTTTTATCCAATAATGTAAACAAATAGAGCATTTGACAATAATTTATAAATAGACTCGATTTTCATTTGTTTATTAAATTTAACAAAAGATTACGAATAACATTTGAAGGTTATTTAAATAAATGAATAGATCACGAATACAGTAAAATTTATTCATATTCAATTCATTTGTATCTTTAATTTTCATACAAATTTTATTAAACATAAAAATTTATTGATTTATACTTTTAAAAATAAAAAATAAAAAATACTTCATGTAACAAAGAAAAAGGAGATATTAGTGGTTTATTGGAAACGCTATAAACATGTAATTATCACATGTCACTTGCACGAAATATGATATGGTGCATAAAGATATAAATAATTAATTAATATTTATAAGTTATTCGGATTCAGTTCAAATAAAATTCGAATTCAATTCAATTATTATCGAATCGAGCTTGAGTAGTTTAATTTATCGAGCGAATTGAATTTGAATATCGTAATCTAATTCAAATAGTTCACAAGTCTAATCTAATTTTTAATTTTTAATTTTTAATATTTTTATTATTTTAATTAAAATTACAATTTCACCTTTATATACATCATTTAAACTCGAACATGAATTCAAACATATAATTGAATTTGAAATTAAACATAAAAATTAAGATTATTTTTATTAAATGACTCTAATTAAATAATTTGAGTAGTTTAATTTTTATTTTGAATCAAATTTGAATTTAAAAATTAAAATTTAATTCAGTTTTAATCAAATTTTGAGTAATGAATTTTAAGTTAAGCTATAAATCAAACTTTTTTATTATATCAACTGATTTGATTCGATTACATCGATAACGATTAGAATATCCGTATTACAAAGACTTTCTGTTTTGTCTACAGCCAACAAAAAATGGACTTACTGTTTTGTCCGTTTTACAATCATACCCAATAGCCTTTTGTCTTTGTTTATAGTAACATCTCATTTTAATTTTCTTTTTCTTTTTTTTTTAAAGAAATAGACAAACTAATTTTGTTATTTTAGAACCAACTCTATCACATTCTCTCTTTCAACAATTCCTCTCTATTTCTCTCAAAGACTTTCTTTCTGTCTTTGGTAACTGTAAAGAAGGAATCTATGGTTTTTGAACAATGAACCTTTGCTCCAACAGAGTTTTACTGGGTAAGAGAGTCTTCAACTGTTTTTTTCAGTCTTTCTTTTTCACTTTTTTGAGCTCACTTAGGGCAAATGCTGGCTCTAATTTACAGACTTAAGTCCCAGTTTTTAAATGTAAAACGAAGAGTAGCAGAATAAAAAGGTAATGAAGATATAATACCAGTCAGAGGCCACCTTGGCAAATGTCACAAGTTCAAGCCATTAGCATTCAAACACAGATCACATCCCAAGAGGTTTGAGTTGATTCACATGAAAATGGTAATTGATTGGTCACTTTCTCACAAATGATACCAAGCCTACTTGGTTTGGTACATTTATCTAAACCAGGAAATTTGCTTTCATTTCTACATTAGGAAAATAAGGTATATCATGCATCATTCTATCTCTTCCTATCACCTCGGTGTCTTCTATCTCTATCATGATCATCATCAGTTTCTGTTCGACGGTGCCTATCAGTTCGTTCTTCCCTCCTATCTTTATAGCCGTGGTCATTTGCACCACTTTTTCTGTGACTAGACTCATTCTTTGTGTCTCGTCTATTGCTATCTGCATTTTTCTTCCAATAATCTCTTTCAACCCTCTTGTCTGCATAGATATCACCATCACCACTCCTCTTTCTGTGATCATCGTGTCTTCTATTTGGAGGACTATTGTTGTCAGCATATTTCTTTCTGTGATCTGCATCATCTCTCTGGTCATTACCACGAATATCTGAACTATTCTTTCTGTGATTGTGCTCATCTCTCTCTCTTTGTCTGTCTTTATGCCTTTCCACACCTGTTCGGTCTTTAAGATGCTTTTCGTCTCTCCTCCCACCAGATCGACTGACATCCGCTCTGTAATCTCTACTTCTGTCTCTCTGCTTATCCTTATCATTGATGTCTTTCCCCTCCATAGCATCAGATCTATTCCTGTTCATTTTGTAACTGCGTTCATTGGCATCAAAATCATGGGGTCGATGTCTTTTTGCTTGTCTGGGACTATCTGGAGCATCTCCATCAAATACCATCTCATACCTATTACAATCATCACAATGTCAAGAGAAAGAAAGAAAGAAAGAAAAGAGGGTCTGGAAGGAATGCACATAAATGCATCCAACTTTACAAACCTTGAGCTATTGTCACCGCCATGCTGTACATTTTCATCCTTTAAAATGTATTTAGAAGGCTGCAGCTTGGTGGCAGGTCCCCCAGCACAATCCTTAGCAATGTGATCAAGAGCACCACATTTGAAACAACCTCCTACAACCAAAATATACAAACAAGTTTAATAAGGTAAGTTCAGCTATTGTGAAAATTACCTGTATGAAGCTACAAGATGTTCAGGACAAAAAAAGATTAAGAGAAAGGAATTAGATAACATGAAAAAAAGCAATGAACTTATAAGAAATATGCATTCTTACAGATGTTTATTAATTTACCAAATATCAATTATCATTGAACGAATACTGGAAGTAATATTTACTCCAATCTTTTGAGGTTTTCTCAAAAGAAAAGAGCAGGACTACACAGTGGCAGAAAAACACCCTTAACCAGCTTGTTTTTTACAAGTTCCCTATACTTCCATATTCATCACTACAAGATTCCTTTTTGCTAAGGTTTTCTCGTTTAGTTTAAAGCCCAAATGATTCTCTTCAACAAGTGGCAAGTCCACATACGGTCACCTTAGGCCAACCAAAAATAATTCAGACTGAAAATTCTCACAACACACATGACGTGTAGATATTTAAGCTCTTTTATGTTAGCATACAGGTTAAAAGATTTTGGCTCCTTTCGTAACGTGCCAGGTTTACCAAGTTTGCCAAAAAATAATTCAGACTGATTATAAATCTCATCCTACAATTATTCAGAATAATTAAAAAAAAAGATAACATATTAATCTAGCTAATATATAGAAGAAAATAAAACCAAAATCTTATATAAACCCAACAAACATAATAGAAAATAAAACCCAAACCCTTGAAATCTTTCTCATCCTCCCAACCTCTGCTATTGCAACCACCTTCCTCCCACCCTCTCTCATTTTAAGATACCTAGGCTGGTTCCAACAGGTTTCCCAAATATTAATACGTTGTGAAATTAGCCTGGATTCCGCAATCAAAATAAACTATTTGGTAAGTGAAAAAGAAAATAACAACAAGAAGAAAAATAATGCACACATCGATTTACGTGGTTCGGCTTAAAAGCATACGTCCATGGGTCAAGACAATCAACAAATATTTCACTATGAAAGTAGGAGATTTACAAATGAGCTAAAAATTAACTCTCTACCCAGAATTCCCAAAACCTCAGTAGAGCATTGTTTTGCAGCTCGCTCCTCTTTCTATACACTGCTTTGCTCTCCAATTTTCTGATGCATCAAACCTTACCAAGGTGCCAGGTGCATAAAACAAATTGGCCGATGTGCACTGAAATAACTTTTTTACTAAGCACCAAAATAACTTTTTGCCAGGTCCATATATTGACTCTAAACAATCTAAGTGCTCAGGCGTATACTTTGCTCTAGAGTCATTCTAAACAGGTTCACTAACTAATTGAACAGACAAATGTTTAAGCAACTTGACTGTTTCTATTTTTTTGTAACAGATATAATTATCTATGCATCTAACTATGTGCAGGATAGTTAGAACGGTATGCCTAGGGTCTCAAGCATGTAACCTTAAACCACTGCAAGCAATATGTCTACTCTGGCGGTAGATTTACCTTTACCCTTTTGTTGATCCTTGCGCCTGTATTGGGACCAAAGTTTTGCAACACTTTGACTAAAATCAACATGTATCCTTCTATCATCAATCAAGGCATTATCCATCTACAATGAAAAATTAGGTCAAAAAATGTCCATGCCCAAAGAAAGAAGAATTGCAGAAAAAATAAATATTTGATTCACAAAAACACATGGTCTCTATTTGAAAGTGCAGCAGCTTTTCTAGAAGCTAGATTTCTAAAAAGAACTTGTTTGCAAGTTTTCCAAAGAGCTAGTTGTTAGAAGGACCAGTGGCATCATTTTATGTCCATACAAATGATATTGCACTGATTATTTCCAAGGACAAGAATCATGCCAATTGAAGTGTTTAATTACTTAGGAATGTGTTTCATTTACATTGTATATTTTATGTGCTTAATTGTAAATTATATATATTTAGGGCATTTTATGTTATATTCATATTAGTTTTGCTTGTTTAGCACGTCCTAGATTTAGAAAGAAAGCAATAAACACTTGGATATGACTATTTCCACATAGGTTTTTTTCACCATCAATCAAAACGTCAAGAGTCAAGACTTTGTGTCGATGGAGAAAAAACCTGCATGGAAATAAACCTACTCTAACCACATTATTTTCAATTGCAGCCCCTTACGTTCGATGAATTAAGAAACTAGATCAGAGTATTGAGATTTTCCCCTTTGTTTTCTCTTTTCCCTTCCTCTATTTCTTGTATTTTCCCTCCATGTCCATCTTTCCCTTTGATGTCTCTCTATTGTCTATTTTCTCCCATCCCTTATCTACTGCCTCATCAGCACATAAATAAGGCTAAGGTCATGTGTTCTTGTTAACAAAGCAGTCCTTTTAGTCCAAGAGAAAGTGTCATTGATAGTTAATCTCATTAGAGTAATAATTTATTTATAATTTAAGTGAGAGTTGAACGTTATTTTGGTAAATCTAAGATTTGTTAGAATAAGCCTTATGGTTAATTAGATTAAACTTTTGGTCTAGTTAAGTCATCAGGGTTTTTAATCTTTAATTTCCATAAAACAAGTTTTATACGTAAGTCTAATGATTTTTAAGAAAAGTAATTTTCACCAGATGTAACTAATCTTTATACTCAATTCTCACCTGGGTCATCAAGTTTAACTCATACCAGGTAACATAATGATGTAACCCACACCAAGCATCATCATCCTAATGCTAAGGGTTAAAATTGTTGACAAAATGCTGACAGGACAGCCATGTCAACATCCACTTCAGTATTATGGAAGAGCTACATGACAGTAGGTTGCCCCATCCCACCCCCAAAAAAACTCCATCCCTTCTCCCCAAGATTCAAATTTGAGACCTTTGAATTGAAGTCTCAAGTTGCAACCATGGGCATGTTCCCTTGAGGACAACTTAAATCCTCATTGACAAATCAGGTAGTTGAAACAAAGGAACAATAGTTTTTCTTCCCAATTAATTTCAAGAAACCTGAGATTTTAAAAAGAAAAACAACAATAATAATTATATTTCCTTGGAAAACCCATGCATTCTATAGAAACTAAATTGAACAACAAAAGGTGAAAAATTACTTGTGTCATCAATTCACATAATCTTCAAATATCCAGTAAGAAAGAAGCAATACTAAAGAAAAGAAAGGACATTTTTGTATTATACCTTGAAATACGCTTGTTCACATGCCTCGGTGGTCTCAAATTCTGAAATGATAAAATATTATTGATAATATTATGTATCCAAGAGAACGAAACATGAGTAATAATCAGGTTATAAGTGCTGATCAAAACAAGATTGAAGAAACCTTAATGGACTGACCAAGGTTGACAAATTAATTCCACAAGTACATATCACAGCTCATAGTTATCAAAAAACAACTAATTCTACAAGAGCATCTTCGACCTTCAACGTTCTTTTAGATACCTTTCTTGAACTATTTTACCCAAACTCAGGAGAGAATGTTTGATCTAAGTACATGTCTGACATGTCATTTTTTTTTTATATTTTCACTATATTTGGGGGGTTGGACCTCCACACTCATGTATGTTTTAGATAGGGTACTTCAGGGAAATGAATAGTCAGAGCAACATGGTTCTTGAACTTTCACTTATGTGCTAATTTGTTAACCCAACAAAACCAAACTTAGATTTAGGTGCAGTTTGATAAATTGAAAATTTAAATGCCGAATTTTCAGTTATGAAAATTTGAAGCACTAAACCTATACAAAAATATGTTTGATATGCCATTGACGATTATATATTTAGTTGCTAGTTTATTTATTTTTATTTTTGTAATAGAGATGTATGATTTTATTAGGTTTTCATTCATAAAATACAAAAAAGAAAAGAACACATAGTTAAAAGGCAAAGAACATAGTATTAATGTAATTAAGTAATAAAAATTTCGTCAAATAAGATTGCTGAATACCTTAGGTAGGTTTTAACTGCAAAACATTTTCAATACTTTTTCAATGAAAATCTCCAATTAAGTGAATTTCCAAAGTAAGTTTTCAAATGCTTTGGAAAGAATTAAATCATCGAAAATTTAATTTTTGATGGTTTATCCATAGCACCTTGGTCAAACCATAATCATTTGAGCTAACATATGAAGCCAATATAGGGTTGGTATTTACCGTTCAATAGCTCATATTACTCACATTAAAAATCTTGCATAATTGCCTAACAAAGCAGGTACTAATCTATTAGCATAGACTCAAGTATGGAAATTGGGTGTCAGTATGTATCCAAGTTTCTGACTCATCAATTGTCTCAAGAAACAGCGTTAAGGTATAAAAGGGTCCAAAAGAAGAATATTACTGCCAAGTAGACACTTTCTAATAATTTTGGAACAATCTTATACACCTTAAGTGTATACCAAGTCTTAAACAGTCTTATTTATGCTTTCACTTTTCCCTTATACACCTTAAGCATATACCAAGTATGAAAACAATTTCATTTACTCTTTCACTTTTCCTACCTACATCTTTCAAAGAGGACTAATCCTTAAAATTGAATCAAATAGAACACTTAAGCCTTTCTTTACTCTTTATGCTAGCATTTGTTCACTTGATCTCAATGGCAACCACACATAAAAAGACACAAGGCTTAGCAATGCCTCAATAATGAACTAGCAACAATTAACAATCAGTGATGTCCATAAAGATCAGCTCGATGTTTAATCAAGAAAGCTCACTGTGGCACCTAGGAGTTTGATTTAAAAACATTACTTGTCAAATGAAACATCCATGAGTCAAAAACTATTAAAACATTCAAAAAGACTAAATAACCAGAACCCAAACCAACTACTTGGATCAGGCTTACTGTACTCTATTTTCCCATGTTATTCTATCTAGGTTCATCTTCAGTGTTCAAAACAGTCATTGTTAATCAGAAACAATATCCAACTTTCACTCACGTTTAGGACTACAGGCTAGAAAATTAAGCTTCCAAAAACAATATGTAAGAATTTTCTACAACTATATTGTAAAGTTAGAGCTGTTGAGCTTCATATTCTATACTACAAATAACAGGTTATAGATGCTCTTGGATGAAAATAAATAAAATCAAGGTTCCACTCACCAATGAAAGCATAGCATAAGCTGTCTCCAGTCTTATAATCACGGATTACCTCAGCCCTGAATTTAATTGCAGTGAGAAACACATCGAAAGTCACAAGAATCCTAATATAAACAAATATTAAGAATATTATACTCACGATACTACAGTTCCAAAACGTGAAAATATGGTATGCAAGTCCTCATCCTGCAGTTAGAAAAAGGCAATCAAAATGCGTCTTTTTGGACCATGGGATCAAAATGGCTAAGTATAAGTGTTATAGATTTAATTTTAATCCAAAAGTCAAAAAAAAGCGTGTAACACTTACACTAGTGTAAGTGGATCCCTACTGAATACATATATTTATATATATAGCCCCCACTGAATACAAAAATAAGCACTCACTTCAGTAACTGGATTCAATTTACAAACAAATAGAACATTCTCAGGAGGCTTAATCTCAGCATCAGGAATATCCCCAATCTGCAATGGAAATAAGACAGTAAATAACTTTTAACAGATGTTCACATTCAAACAAAAAATAACACAATCATCATGGACATAGAAACTTACAGTTTCAAGTACAACTGCACTTGAATGGGCATCCTTTGAACGGAGAACCTCCTCAAGCTCTGCAGCACCTAATTGTTCGTCCATAGGAACCCAATCATCTTCAAGCCGAACATCATCATCAATCTAAATGCAAGTATTGAGAAACTAGTAGTGACTATTAATAGAAAATACATACAAAGGGCAGTCTATATTTGTTGACCTGACATAAAAATTACAAATATGACGTGAAATTTGACCATAGTTACTCATTCTTAATACATAACATCAGTTTGGAAACTCTTGTATCAGTTAGAGCTCAGCATCAAACCAAAGAGATCAGACATCCCCATCCCTCTAGAGAATCATAATCTAGACCCTCTTACAGGTGTATAATAAAGCAGCACCCATAAAGTACCAATTTCAATGTTCTCTTATTTTCTGCTACTCCACAGGTACATAAAACACACTCAAAATATTCGTGGGAAAAACAAGAATTTACATAATAAAAGAAAAAAGAAATTATTGCAAATTTTACATAATAGAAGGAAAAAAGAAAAAAGTCTAATAACCAACTTTGCAAATTTTAGTCAAGTGAGCATGCCAGTTTAAAGCATTTAACCGTATGTGAGTAAGCACGAGGAATTATTCAGACAAACACAGAATGAGCCTAGTCCAAGTCCCAGTAATTTTTAGGAATGCGAGGAAAAGGCATCATCAACTTCAACATACATCCGATAGACATATATTACTTTCCTGACTTTTACCTTGCTCATTTACATTCTCAAGCACTCATGTCCCAAACCCATCCCCTTCATTTCTATTTCTCTTTTGGTTTTTTTCATTCATTTTTATATAGAGAAGAGAAGGGCTGCTCGAAGAGTTGAAAAGGATCAAAGAAAGAGGTCAGTTTTTCTGCCTTACTACAGCCAATGTTCAATAAGCCTACAGAATAGCTAGCATGATGCATGTGTAAGTATCAGATAAACTCAACCTGCCCAACCAATCAACTATTTTTTTAGATATTGACTTGAAGATACAAATTCAATGCTATAACAGTAAAAATCATTAATCCCACAACCATCTGAAGAAAAATTATGAAGGTGTATTCTAAAATCAAGAAAGGACTGTTCAGAGGCTGAGCACTCTAGGGAGGGACAAGCCAACTCTTAAAACTCAATGTCCTATAGAGTGTTTTATATCTTGGCACACCAGGGAGGTCCCTGCACTTTTAACAATTCTTAAAAGAGTTTGAACTGGAAACAAAAATGATGCCCCTAAAGCAACTTTAGGCTTAAATACTCACTAAAAAGTTAGCAAATTCCTACATTTAAATTATTAAGTCAGAATCCTGTGATAGCCAAAATTGCACGTTAAGCAAAATGTAAAAAAATAAATATCAGCAAGATAAAAAATATAACTTTCTAGCCTTCAAAAACTAATGTTAGTCAATGTGAGACAGTTCAATTTCAGTTTATGAAGCATCCCAAATGCTTCTGATATTTTCCATAACATATAAAATTGGCCCTTTTTCCTTCTTCAAATTATTAAAGATAAGGACAATTCAAGAGACTACATAATTACCGTAGAAAATAGGTAAGCATCTCAGCTGAGGAACTCACAATTTCAAAAGTGATATGCAGGTCACTTGCCATTCATTCAACCATGCTGAACCTTTCAAAATACAAATAACTAACATCTGAAAGAGTCCTTACCTCATCCTTTGGTTTTCCTTCAGGGGAAGCGTCAGGAATCAACTCAGACAACTGGGAAGGATCATCAAAAGGATCCTCTAATATATATGTGTGTTTGATTCTGTTCAACATTTAATAGAGACAACTAATAAATTATGTTGTCAAAATAAATTCAAATGAACTAGCACCAGAGAACAAGACATATGGTCCACAGCCCACACTTTGCTAAAACAACATATACAGAATGGAACAAGGTTCAACCGGATGTTTTTATATGGCCTGTTCTTCTCATCTACATAAGCTTCATTAATCCTTGTCAAAGTTTCAATCCCTTCAGCAACCTCCCCAAAGACCTGAAATGATAATTCTCTTTTAGGAAATGTAGGATATTATCAAATAAAAGAATGAACATACAATATCCAAAGAAGAAACACTACAAAATAAAGGTTAAAAATTAATGATCTTATGCATTGCACCAAACAATTCCTTATCACTCATAACAATGGCTCACATATTTCCTTTGGCAATTCACTTTCAAGGAACAAATGATATATGTTGCTAAGAAACATGAGTGAGTGTCCATGGCACGTGTCTGAAACAGGAATATTCAATTTTTTTTCCAAGTATTTCCTTATATTTGTAGGGTCTAGACCACATATCAATGTCCAATTTGAGGCATTGGATATGTGTTTGACAGAGGTACCTTAAGAATTAAAGCAACATAGCAAATAAGCACTCCAAAAGGAACCACCAGCAAGTCATAAAAAATCCAAAAACAGCTCTCAAATGTCAAAATCATTTCAGCACAACTCTTAGAAACACAAACATGGGGCATATGATGGAATAAGCTAGCTAAACACCATAAAATATTCTAGTTGGGCATGCTGCACAAGCAAATGAATAGATGTGTCATATTCTTTTGGTTAATAAGAAATGCCATTTTAAGTTTCTAATAAACAAGCATCTTTTTGGACCAACACAGGAAGCAATAGGAAATACCACATTCAACTCTTTCAGCCACCTATCTCAATGCCTCATCTACAACTAAACCCAGCTGTAAATACACATTAAGAATTCATACCAGGCAGTCCACTGAAATTGTTAAAAAGCTTTGATCTAGATAACCAAGAAAGCACCTTAAGCTGCAGTTTACAAGAGTAGTTCTTAATTTAATATTGAACCACAAGAAGTTAAGCCGATAGGGACATGATATCTAGAAAGTTATAATTGCTTTGGATCATAAATTCATAATATACTAAAAGAAAGTAGAAGGATCAAAAGACTTACAGTGTGCTTCCCGTCAAGATAGTCGAGATCATCACGAAGTGTGAAATAGAACTGGAAAGCAAAGAAGGTTTATAAGCATAAACATGAGTGGTTTCTCAAATGCCTAGAGCTACAAACAAAAAATTTCTCATCATAATAAACTGAAATAAAAGAAATTTTGAGTAATCATGAATCAAGCAAACGAACCCCATACCTGGGAAGCATTAAGATTCTCCCCAGCGCTAGCCATTGCAACAGTGCCTGTCTTGGAATGCTTTAAATCAAGATGAATCTCATCACTGAAAAACCGAGCCTGATCACCATATAGGAATCTGAAGGAAGAAGAAAAAACTCTCAGTAATCGTAATGGATACCACTGAACTAGAAACCTAAACAACTGACAGCCGTTGTAATCCAATATAAACTATCAAGAAACTAAACTAGAAAATTGCAGCATATTCCAGCTAAAATTGGAAAGAGAGAGCAAAATCAAAAACCAAAGAGGACATTGTTTTATCTGTTTCTTACTTATACACGGAGTCTCCACCTGAGCCTGTCCCAGTCGGGTCCCCTGTTTGGGCAGTAAAATCCTTCTGAACCGTGTGAAACAGACACCCATTATAATACTTAATCCTGCACCCAAAAGCATTTAAGTTAAATGGGCGAACCAAAGAGAATTATTACCAATGAAAATATGGAGAATTGAATTTTGAGAAAAGGAATTTACTTGCAAAGCTTCAAGAAGTTTTTGCAGGTCAAGGGACATTTGTCTGTGTACAAATCCACCACAATATCGCCTAAGCTCGTCACTATTAGAACGGACATGGAATCTTAACACTGTGTTTAGTAGGGAGGAAGGAATATGGAGGAAAGGGGGAAAAGGAATGGAAGCAAAGGAGAAAGAGAGAGTGTGTCGGACAGTTGGGACTTGGGCAGGCTGCCGGCAGCCGAGAGAGCGAAAGATGAAGGAGGTTTGCGAACCCAGAAACCTTCGACTTTGACAAATGGAGGAGGCAAATGGGCAAAGGATCTACCTTGAAGGCTTGACTGCTGGTGTCTAGACTTAAGCCTGTAGGTTCGGCCCAACTTCAATAGCTCGGGTTTGGAGACTTGTTTTTATGACCTACTTTAGCATGTTGAAAGTAGATTTTTACATTGATAACTGTTTTTTGCGCAATTTTAATGCTAAACTTAAATTTTTAGTTTTATTTTTTTGGCCGTTAGCATAATTTTTTAGTTTAAAAATCTGATTTTTAAATCCAAATTAAAAAAGTGCTATGAAAATATGCATTTAAAATAGATTATATTATTTTTATTTCATATATATATAATATTATATTACAAAATATATAAAAATATGATAAAATATATCACATAGATATCTAAATATATATATATATATATATCATATATATTTAGCATAAAGGAAGTTTATATTTGCACCTCATTAAATACTTTCTACAACTTCTATTATAAAATTATCAAAGTAAAATTATATAATTACTTTTTATTAAATTACTTTTTTGCCCTTTTCACCTATTTGTATTCTTTTTTCTTTTTTCCTTTTTTTTTCTTATCTTATTCTTCTCTTTTTTGTGTTCTTTTTACAATTCGATCATAAAACCCTAATTCATTAAAACTACTTTTCTTATCTTCTATATTGTGAAAATGAATACCTAATGAGAAAGAAAACTAATGGGCAAAAAGATGGTTGAATAAACGATAAAGTAAGTGTGTCTCGAATTTGAACTGTAAATTGCATATCTAAATAAGTATATCTGAAATAATATTATATTTTCAAATATGCATATCTAATAATGTATAGTGACTTTTGAATATACATATCCAATAAATATTTAAATTATTAAAAATATATATCTTGAAACAATTATATATTACCGGATATTAAGGTTGGCAATGGGTAGAGTCAGGGTGGATTTTTGCTCGCCCTAAACCTGACCCGACTTCATAAACATAAAACTCAAACTCGACTTGAATCGAAATTTTTTTTATTTTTTCATACCCGAACCCAACCTGATCCGATATTGTATAAATCATACCCGACCCAACCTGACCTAAAATTAATAAAATATTATTTTTTAAAATATAAAATATTATTTTTTAAAAATATATTATATAATATATATATATATAAATAAAAAATTTTAAAAAAATAATTAAAAAATAAATTTTAATATAATATCGAGTCGGGTTTGCCTAAAACCTAACCCTAATTTTTTTTAACAATACCCGATCCGACCAGACCCGCAACCCGATTTAAAAAAAAAAATTAACCCTATAAGATCAGGTCGAGTAAAAACCCACTAGGCTCAGGTTGGGCTAACAACCCTACCAGATATACAGATTTGATAATATAAAAAACTTATAGGATGTTTATATAAGGTAACATAAAAAATTTACTGGATATTTATATCCAAAAATATACAAAACCTATAGAGTTTGCATATCAGGTAATATGATCATTCTAATTTTTTAACTTCTTCCAATAAGAACAATTTTGAAATGGTGCTTGTAGAGTGAAATGAATCATCGTACAATTTGGATATAAGATACGATTATAGTTTTTCATTTACTACAACAAAGGTATTTTGCTTTTTGAATTTAGATTATACAAAGGCCTATGTTAGTTTATATAAACATACAAAGTGATAAGTTTAATATATTGTGTAAGTATTTTATAGTAGTGAAGCCTTAATTTCATGAGCTACACAAGTTGAAAAATATGGTTTTATTATTGTTATTAAAAACCCTGATTTAGGAAGTCTAACAAGAAAGCCTAAAATAAGATTGGCATGTAAATAAAATGAAAAATACAAGCAGTAAAAAAATAAGGCAAATGTAAAAGAAATGTTTCATAAGGGATCAAAAATGAAAAAATGTGGTTGCACATTTGAGTTATATGGGATTGAATTGGCAATAGATGATGAGTTGGATGTGAAAGTAATCTGTGGGTTTCACAATTATCTATCAATAAAATATTTAAAAGAACATTCATTTGTGGATTGATTGTGTGATAAGAAAAAAAAAAATTGTGGCTGATATGTCAATAATATGGTTAGATTAACAAACAAACTATTAATCCTAAAACAAGATAATGAAAAGAATATCAGCACCATAAAGATTATATATTATGAAAGTCAAAGATATAGATTGATTGAGAAAGCTTGTAGATACAAATTCAATAATTGACAAAAAAATTGAATGATTATAAATACGTGGAGTGGTATAGGAGTAACAAGACAAGCAACTACGTTAGGGACTTGTTCTAAGGTCATCTTAATGCTATATATTTTCTACATGCCTTTTCAAGTGTCCTGATTATATATTGTACCTATAAAATCAATAAATATCATCTCCCATTGCTTGAGATTGTTGGTGTAACCTCTATTGAGATAACATTTTGTATTATATTTGTGTTCATGAAAGCTAAGTGGTAGGACAACTATTATTGTGCACTATATACATTAAAAAGTTTGATACCTTTTGGTATATTTTCTAATGCCATTTTTACTAACAAAGACTTAGCATTAATGAATGCCATACAGAGTGTATTCCTAGTACAACAAATTTTTTTTACAAATTACATGTCTCAAGAAACGTACTTACGAATTATAAAAAAAAATTTTAGCATGAGTACCAAAGGCCTCTAAATTCACTAGAAACTGATTATCAGATTTATCAAGAGCAATCAAGTATGTGAAAAAACAATGGTTAACAAAGTATAAAGACAAATTTGTTACTGTTTGGATAGACAAAATAATGCACTTTGATAATGTTACAACAAAAAGTTATGATTTTTTTTGTATTTTAAAAATTATTTTAATTTTCATAATTCATAACATAACATTCATATTAATATACCTTTTAAGTTTATTTAGAGTTGAGAGTGCATATGTGAAGTTGAAAAAGCATATTGGATCATCTTAAAAGGATTTTGAATCATCATGAAAGATAATCAACTCTCGTATTGAGGTTCAACATACAAAGATAAAGGCTTTATTTGAGAAAAGTCTTACAATTTTTAAACATAACTACGAGCTAACAATGTTTAAAAAGTTACGATGGCTAGTATCTAAGAACACACTCAATATGATTTTGATAGAAGCCAAACGAGCAAATTAAGTTAGGATTGACAAGCTGGCTTATGGTTATGTGATAAAAAAGGTGCATGACTTATCTTGTGCACATGAAATTACAAAGCATCTCAAGGTGAAAAGTCTAATTTTTTTTTATCTAAAATGCATCCTCATTAGACAAAGTTAAACTTAATAAAGAGTAAAGTTAATAAGGTATCCTCTAAGTTGACCATTGTATTTGAGGTTAAGTGAATCATAAAATACTTTAATGAATGTAATGAGATCGATAAATTAGCCATGAAAAGAAAATTGAAAGAATTAGGTGACTCGTCAACAATTTTCCTTGTTCCACCACTAAATGGCTAAGATAAAAAATCGTAAAGCTATAAAAGCAAATATATCTTTACAACATGACCTTTTCAGACTAAGAGATTATGCTATCTACTCATAATAATACATCATCACCAACTATTGCCAATTCAGTGAAAGTGACAACATAGATAAATATTATAAAAAAATACAATATTTGGATAGTTTACTCATGGAGTTACATCCATATATAAATGCTATTATGGATGCTAAGATAGATGGACATTATGATTTTTGTTCTATTATTAAGGTGCTTGGAATGAGTTTAGATGGTTGGTTACAAATGTGACAAGATTTAATTGATGAGCTTAATCAATATTGAGGCGAATATGTGACATTCAATGGATCTATGGAGCTTGTTGAGGAATTGCTAGAAACTTTATCATGTTTTAAGATTTATGCCTTATACAATACATGGATAACCTTAACTGATAGAGGTTATTTGATAGCTTCATAGTATGGTGTCGTGCTAATCTACATCAATTTAAGATAATGTTTGATATATCTCTCATTTAGATTTTAGCACCTATACCATTAAAGCACAGGGTTTTTACAATTGTATTTGTTATTGATTGTCATTTTGTGCAAATACCAAGAATTATATTTAATATTTATCTTGTTTTAATTTAATAATTATAGACACAAAACATTTAACAAATATTTTTTTACAAATATTAATGAATCTGGTCTCACTAATACCTACAATTGCATACAACTAGCATAAACATCGATATGATTATGCTTGATGATGTGAGGTTTCATATGTAGCTCACATCAAGGAATTCAAATTATTGTTTACCAAAACCTTTGACGTGACCACTTAAAAAACTATTAACTTATATTGATGACTTTGATATATTATAATAATTATATTTGTTATTGTATATTGTTTTTTCATTGATGCATGAGTTAAAATAATTGTATTTGTTATAATAATATTATTTATTAAATTCATTTATGACTTTTTAGTAGGTTTAATATTAAATTGATATGTTATATGTTAGTGGGTTATTTAGCATGTTTTAAAAGTTTATGTTACCAAAGTACGATGTTATATGTTCTCAAATTCTCTAATAAGTGCTTAAATATGCATAAACAAGTTTACAAATATATACATATGACCATTGGTTGTTATATTCAATATAAAGTTATAAATGTTTTAAATAATAAAATCAATGTCTTTGTGCAAACATATACCAAAAAGAAATGCATAAAATTCTTAATCCATGCTCATTTTCTTTAACAAATTAACAAGTTTAGCGAGACAGTTGTTAGTGAATAATATTATTCTAAAAAAACTTATAAAATTCCTAATCCTTATTCCATGTCCTTTTATCTAAAAAGTAGTTGGATGCCTCCATCTTATCAATATCAACTACTCTAGTTTGTGCCATATTTATAGTGACATAAAAGAACATATATATCAAACACTTAACTAATTCATTCAAAAAGAATTTAACAATTTAACTTTTGGGGTTTAGGTCATTGGTTTAAGGGTTTTTGGTTTAGGGAGTAGTTTTTAGGGTTTTAAGGTTTGGGTCTTAAGGTTTAAGAGTTTATGGTTTGTGATTTAGACTCCAAGATTTAAGGTTTTGGATTTATATTCCTAAATTTTTTTCAAGTTTTTAAGAATGCAAATCTAAAAACTTTACCAAAAG